AATTTTGTAGGCAAATCAAATGAAAATGTCAAATGTTAGGTTAATTTTGTAGGCAAATCAAATCGGATGTTGCAAGATCTTGGTTGGCAGGAGAAACTGCCAGAATAATGCAGTTAGGCTGCAAGAAAAGAAGAGGCATAGAGTTCAATACATGATAACCCCAGGAAACTATTTGACGAGCAATGTGTTTATTTGTTTTAAGTGTAAACTGTTCAGAAAATATATAAATAAAAGTATAATGTGTCGGTTTAACCAAAACAATAAAAGGTTTTAACTGAAAATCGAACCGAATAAGTTATCTTTATTCGGTTAACCGAACCGTTTATGCTGAAAATGAAAACCCGAAACCTTTTTTGGTTCGGACGAATTGTTCGGTTTCAAAATAAATTCGACACTCCTAAGTGTGCCCCCAACCATAATAATTTCTAGATCCGCCACTGCCACCCTGTAACGTTATTCGGGAAGTGTCTAGTATGACGCTCGAAACTCTAATCACGACCAACTTATTAGTAATTTGATGTACATTTGAAGACGATACAATTTACCTGACCAAAAGCCAGATATAAACTATTTAATTGCAACCATTAATCACTTCAAACATATTTTATCAGATTCCTAACCAGATGTCCAGTTGCAATTTTTTTATTGCAATTTGTAACAACTTATATATAAGTTAATGGAGTTGAAATTGTCGGGATTGTTAGCACCAGACTTGCTCTCCAACATATCTTCATTAAATCATTTTGATTGTAATAATTCCAATAATGCTAATTTTTTAAAATGTCACGGATTTTGTAGTATGAAAAGTTGTTCTATTTGACGAATATAGATAGGTATATATACTTTAGAAAGAAAACTTTAGGAACTCGTTGCGGAAATTAATGAGGCAACCACAAACGTTCATCAGTTTATTATTCTACTAAAGATGCCTCATGCAAGATTTGAATCATTTTCTTAAGGTTGTAAGGTTTGGATCCATCGTAGAAGTCAAAATAAACTCAAAGATCGTTTAAACGTATTTGATCATATTTATGGACCATAACGATCGATAAAACTTGATTGAAAGCTTCATTATGCAACGTCTATTATTGATCTTCTAATACTCATGCGAACTTTTGTTTATATATAATTGTATATCTTAAAGTCACAAATAGGGGCATTATTCTGTTTGTTTGGCTGGGTTTCCGGTTATTCAGTTTTCAACCCTTTTCAAACTAACAAATAATCAAACCGAATTAAGATTGTTTTGATCAGTTTAGGTTTATTCGGTAAATCAAATATATATATACATACATATATATATATATATATATACATACACATATATATATATATATATATGTGTGTGTGTGTGTAGATGTTCAAACAAGAATGATATCTAAATAGTAAAATAAGATGATGAATACCAACCAATCATTTATTTAAATCATGCCTTAAATAAAATTTTCTTAAAAATCGTCCAAATTGGAATATATGTTATTTGTTGCATATGGTTATATATGGAAATTCATTTATTTCTATAGTGGTTTATTAATGCATTTAATTAACGTATTTATTTAATATATTTTCTTACAATTTTCATGATTTAAGCATGATAAATTTTTTTCATTTGTTATATTTATTTTTTATGACATTTAAAATAAACATAATTTACTTTTTTATTTAAAATACTTATTTTTATTTAAGTAATTTATATAAGATTTTTTTTATACAATTTTTATCAAAAATCACATATGATATTTACAACTAATCGATATTTCCCTCAAAAAAACTGTTAATTTTCGTCAAGAAATCAAATGTATATTGTTTATAGTAATTTAAGTATGAAAAATGTAAGTTATCCACAATCATATGTGATATTTGTAAATTATGAATTATGTTTAAATCACGTGTGATTTTATCTATACTATATTATAAAATATTTGACAAAAACTCTTAAAAACCATCTTTTATGCATGAAGTACTGTTTATTGATACATATTACTTAGGGGTGTTTGGGATTGCTTATAAAAGCTGTTTTTTAACTTATTTCAGTCTGGCACCGGTGATAAGTTGTTTTCTGGTGTTTGGATAAGAAAAAAAAAACTGTTTATACCGGTGTCAAACCGGTAATAAGCTGTTTTTGATAAGTTAATTCTTCATGACTTATGAAAAACTGCTTAACTTATCAAAAACAGCTTATTACCAATTTACAATTTTAACCCTGTTTTATTTAACTCCGATTTGATACCACATAAGTTAATAAGCACTTTTACAAAAAAGAATAAGTTGTTTTAAATAAGCAATCCCAAACACCCTTTTAAAATCCATATTTACAAGTAAATTTTGCATAAACACAACTTATTAAAGCTTAATGTTTGAATTCATGTAGCTAACTGAGGATAAACATAATCAAATAAAGAATAAATATCTCATTTTAAAAATATAAAAAATCTAAAATATAATTAGAATAATTATCGAGTTCTAACAAAATAATTAATTATTATCTTTATAAGAAAATTATATTATTAAACCAAATATAAATTATTTCGTTATTGWACCTAAATTRAATTATAATAAAAAATTAAATTAAAAACTTACATAAAAATGAGAAATTTTAAATAGTTAATTTGATATTAATATCGATATATTTTTGTCAAATTTTTATGATATATTCAAATTTATATTTTATTCAAAAATACATAAATTGTCGCATTTTGAAAATCACATAAGACCATATTATAATATCGATTGAGATAGAGAACAAAACGAAATATTAAAATTAAGATGAATCTCGTTGTATTGCACGAGTACCTTCTAATACATATTAAATGTGTTCTGTTACACATCACATGTGAATATATTTCCATTATTTTTATTTTCCAGTGTTTAATTAGAATAATTGTTTTTCATGCTTTAAATCACACGTGATTAAAAAAGATTTAAAAAAAATCAATTAATTGTGAAACACATGTGATTTTGATGAAAATTACATTAAAATCTAAAAAAGTCAAAACATATTAAAAGAAAATTAAATTATGCTATTTAAATGCCTTA